TACCCTGAACATTGTGCAAAGGACCAAACACTGTCTTTGGTTTACATAAAATGTGATGCAAAACAAAACTTGACTTAAAGTGTAAAAGTCCACATTTAAGTTTGTTTAAATATTTTTTTCACATTGAAGTGAATATTTTTCCCTATATAAGGAACTGCATTGAGAATTTCTCCTCTTTGATGTTCACTACTGCTCTAAGATTTTCCAAACAGAGTAGAATTGCAGGCGTGTCAAAAAATACTCTTGAAAAAAAGATGAAGTGAACATTTAATGAGGCCTGTAAGTTTGTTGTATTAAACTGTGGAGGTGTCGTTTTAATCACTGGAGTTAGTGTGGCGTGGCATAAGTTAGCCCTTTTTTAATTACCTCACTGACTGAACACAGTCAAGGATGGAGTGGTCTGCCCACATCAGGGAGGCCACCCTAAAAGGAATCAACTCCCACGGTTGTTTCTCAATAGTGTAGCGAGCAGGCAACATTCAAATGTCCTCTGACAGATAACATGCAACAACTCAAACAAACAAAGCAATAACAATTCTTTATTTTCATGACTATGAAAATTGCAGATTCATACTGAAGGCATCAAAACTATGAATTAACACATGTGGAATTATATACTCAACAACATGTCTTATATTCCAGGTTCTTCAAAGTAGCCACCTTTTGCTTTGATTACTGCTCTGCACACTCTTGGCATTCTCTTGATGAGCTTCAAAAGGTAGTCACCTGAAATGGTTTTCACTTCACAGGTGTCCCCTGTCAGGTTTAATAAGTGGGATTTCTTGCCTTATAAATTGGGGTTGGGACCATCAGCTCTGTTGTGCAAAAGTCAGGTGGATACACAGCTGATAGTCCTATTGAATAGGCTGTTAGAATTTGTATTATGGCAAGAAAAAAGCAGCTTAGTAAAGAAAACGAGTGGCCATCATTGTTTCAGAAATTAAGGTCAGTCAAAAATTGGCAAGTGTCCCCATATGCAATCGCAAAAACCATGAAGAGCTACAAAGAAACTGGCTCACATGAGAACTGCCCCAGGAAAGGAAGACCAAGGGTAACCTCTGCTGCAGAGGATAAGTTCATCCGTGTCACCAGCCTCAGAAAACGCAGGTTAATAGCATCTCAGATTAGAGACCAGGTCAATGCCACATAAAGTTCTAGCAGCAGACACATCTCTAGAACAACTGTTAAGAGGCGACTGTGAATCAGGCCTTCATGGTAAAATAGCTGCAAGGAAACCACTGCTAAGGACAGGCAACAAGCAGAAGAGACTTGCTTTGACTAAACAACATAAGCAATGGACATAAGACCAATGGAAATCAGAGCTTTGGTCTGCTGAGTCCAAATTTGAGAAGTTTGGTTCCAACTATCGTGTCTTTGTGCGGCGCAGAAAAGTTGGACTCTACATGCCTGGTTCCCACCGTGAAGCATGGAGGAGGAGGTGTGATGGTGCGTTGCTGGTGACACTGTTGGGGATGTATTAAAAATTAAAGGCTTACTGAACCAGCATTGCTACCACAGCATCTTGCAGCAGCATGCTATTCCATCTGGTTTGGGTTTAGTTGGACCATCATTTGTTTATCCAACAGGACAATGACTCCAAACACACCTCCAGGCTGTGTAAGGGCTATTTGACCAAGAAGGAGAGTGATAGGGTGGTGCGCCAGATGACCAGGCCTCCACAATCACCAGACCTGAACCCAATCCAGATGGTTTGGGGTGAGCTGGACCGCGGAATGAAGACAAAAGGGCCAGCAAATGCTAAGCATGTCTGGGAACTCCTTCAAGACTGTTGGAAGACCATTTAAGGTGACAACCTCTGGAAGCTCATCAAGAGAATGCCAAGAGTGGGCGAAGCAGTAATCAAACCAAAAGGTGGCCACTATGAAGAACCTGGAATATAAGACATATGTTCAGTTGTTTCACACTTTTTTAAGTAAATAATTCCACATGTGTTAATTCATAGTTTTGATGCATTCAGTATGAATCTACAATTTTCATAGTCATGAAAATAAAGAAAACTCTTTGAATGAGAAGCTGTGTCCCAGTTATTTGAAGAAGATTTTAACGAGGATCACTAGCCAAGTCATTTGACACGGTTCTACACAGGTCAGCGAGCTGTTCCCAATGCCACTAAAAGCTGATTTTTCCCAGATTTAAACAGGTTTTTCAGCCAGGGGAAAGGGGTATATGTTTTATAGGGGCATGCTAGATATTGATCACCCAAAGTCCTAATAGTAACACTAACAGAGGTTAGCAGATACTTAGCAGTCCAATAACAGGTGTGCATCAGCCTTGCATCCTCGTTTTTGTTTGAGGTCTCTTTCTTTCCTCTTCTGACACAGGTTTTCTTTGGCATTTTGCTGACTCTGCCATGTATAAACCTCCAAAATAAAATAAATAAATATTCTGTAGTCACCTGTGGATAGCGCAGCATGAAACAGTTACTCGAGCCAACAAATTAATATTGGGCTATCATAAAGCTGCTTGTCTTACCCCAAGAATTAAAGCAGAGTTGCAAGACCGCTACAAGGATCGGTGGCACAAAAACTTGCAGTTATTATGACTCTGATTGCCATCACAGGGACTTAGAAGATATACAGTATTAAGATAAAATGTTACTAATATTTAATTTTTGTCATAGCTAATATAAATTGTGAGCCATTAACAATGATCTTACATAGTCTCAAGTCTTTAGGACACAAAGCTATGCTGTTTGCAGGCTTTTATTTTTACAACATAAACAGACCAACCAGAGTGGGAGTCTCAACATTTAGTCCACAGGTACTATCCAGTCTATGCGCTTTAAATTAGACAATGCACATTACATTTCATAATAATCATTATGAAGCTTCTCCGCTCTTTCTGTCATCAAGAAAATTAATCTATATGTGACCTTTTCTGAGATTGCTCTTCTAGTGAGATGTTAACATCTACCTTAACAGAAATTTGGATCATCAAGTAAAACTAAAACCTGAATGTTTTATTTGGATAATTTAATGTGTTAAGCTCCCATAGAAAGTAAGAGAGGTTATTAATCTTTTCATCCAACTTGCTACATTTCATGTGCACTGATATTACATCAAGTTTAGTGTGTTTTTTTTTACTTTCATTTTGCGTTTTAACCCAAATCCAGGCTTCCATTGGTTAATAAATTAGATCTCCATTGATTTATTTTTTTTTTTGTAGTTTTGTTGTCAGCACATTCAACTTTGTACAGAACAAATTATTGAATGAGAAGATTTCATCCATTAAGATCTAGGATGTGTTATTTAAGTGTTCACTTTATTTTTGGAGCCGTGTATATTGTGTTCCCAGCTTTAACAGCTGTCAGAGGTCACAAAAAGGACACAAGCTAAGACAAAAAAAACAAGACAATAAAAACTATTTTAAAGATGCTGCTCATACCCAGTGTTGCACTTTCAGTAACCTTTTTGATTAAATCCAGAATTATTCACATCATTAACAGTTGGTGCAAGGCAATAAATCACTATATGACAGAAGTTAGCGCAAGGCCAATTTTTTTAAATTAAGACTCATTATAATTACAGTGAAAAGTTGGAGGCAAACAGCTTAAGGTGGCTTACGCTAAACACCAGCACAATAGGCCCAATCCAAATGAAATGCAAATCCATGCCATGTTTGCTCCTAAATAACCTCTGCCTTTTAATTAAAAATGTCACAGAAACCATGTTGAACACAGTCGGAGGGAAAAAAAAACATTACCAAGATTTAAATGCATTTTATAGATTCAATAATGAAGCTTTAATTGTTTTAACTACAGTTACCAAAGCATTGTTTCCAAAAATTTTAGATTTTTGTTGAGACCTTAATTACAAGAGAGCAAAATAACCTTTCATTACCTTTTTCGAGTGATCTTCATCAAGATCTCTGTCTCAAACTATTTTATGGAGTTCAAAAAACATGTTTAGAGACAGACCAACATTTTTTTTTCCTTTGCGCAGCTTGAATTGAAACTCACCTGCTGGTGGCGCAGCAGGTGTTGAAACTGGACCTGACAGAGGCACTGCCGCTGGCTCGGACTCTGGAGCAGACGATAATGATTCCACTGTGGGCTGGGGAGGAGGTGCAACTGGTTCAAAAGCAGCAGTAAACTCAGGCAGATGAGATGTATCTAAAGGCTCAGCAGACTGCAGGGGCAAAGAGTCCCCTGAAGGAAGCATTGATGCAGGCAGGATGCTGATAGGCTTTAAAACAGGAGGGGAAGACGGGGATTCTAAATCTGATTTAGGAAGAAGTGGAGAAGCAAGAGGCTCAGTGGTATGTGCAGGAGGAATGGGTTTGATTACTGAAGGAGAAGAAGTAATGGGCTGAGTAAAGGGAGGAGATGCTTCAGTTACAGGGGGAGGAGGTGCAAGATGAGGTACAGCTTCCACCACCCCTGAAGAGTGGCAGGAAACAGGAGTGAGCTGTTCAGTGTGAGCAGGAGGAGGGGGAGCAGCAGGGCTGGTTACAGAAGCAGAAGCAGAATCTGAGGAAAAAGGAGGAGAAAGCACCGAGTCAACCTTGGTGTTTTCTGCTACCTGTTCTGTGGGAGGTTTGGGAAGAGGCGCAGCCACAGACTGGGTGGCAGGTGGAGGTGCTATGGCTTCTACGAAAGGAGGGGGGGGAGGCAGGGAGGTTGGGAGGTCGACAAGGGGAGGAACAGGTCGCAGTGGAGGTGGAGTGGCGGCTGGTGCAGTGGGAGCACTTTGTTTATTTGGAGCGTTGGGTTCTCTCATACGCTTGATCACATTTTCAGAAAGCTGTAAACGAGAAGAAAAATATCAATTAAAGGATATATACTTTTTTTTTTTTTTTATTCAGTAGCACATAATTTTCCACAAAGCAAAACTTTGTTCATGTGCAGAACAATAACAGGTCATTCAGGATCTAACAAATATTTTAATTTTCTTAAAACGTCATTTATGCTTAGACTTTGACTAGGCCATTCACATATAATGTTTAATTTCTCTGTTCTATTAGTGGATAAAATGCGGATTATGCATGTCTTATTTTCCCTTTACAAGCAGGCCAACAAGTAACATTTTGATACCATCTAAACAAAACAGCTTAATTCCCATGTGTCCTGAGTTTATTAAATGTAGGGCTGCATCTAATGATTATTTTACAAATTGATTATTTTTTGGATTAATTATTGGACAGTAAAGGTTGCATAAAGAATATTTTTAAGGAATTAAACCAGGTGAAACTAAAAAGTTTCCACTTGAGGAGTTCTAGATAGAGCATATTGACAGACTAAAATGTTTTTTCATCTTAAATGCAAAATGTTTAAATAGCTTTTATTTAAACAATTTTGATATAATTACTGCTCTAAGAGGGTCTCTCTGTCAGCTAAAGGCAGGTTTTACAGTCTCTGTACTCCATTTAACAATTAACCAATTACTAAATTAGTTGATGATTATTTCAATAATGGGTTAATCACAATTAATATGATTAATTGTTTTAGCCCTAATTAAATGGTCCAGCAACAGTAAACGTGTATTGAACAGTTTTCTGAAAGATGTTCAAAGTTTGGAATTTTGCTTTATAGTGAATATAATCTGTCAGTTTCTAAGGAGATTAGAATAACTTCCAAAAATCTATGAACATTTGCTTACAGATACATTCAAAAATATTCTTCACAGTGACCAATTATAAAAGAAGTAAAAAAAAAAAAAACTGATGCAGGTCTGTCTGTAGCCCCAAAAATGAGAGTAAACCAAAACAAAAAAATTGTAAATATTCACAAAAAAAAGATAAACACTGAAGAATGAATGGGAAAAAATATAAATGTCAGTTCAAAAGAAGAGCATGTTGCAGCATTGTCTGTAACCATGAGTTGTTTCTAAGTAGCTTTCAGAAAGAAAAGCTGCAGAGCTGCATTTAAAAACCGTTTCATCTAGTGCTCATCGAGACGTTTTGCAAGGAAATCCAAAAAAGGAACCAACCTCAACCTAAAGCAACTGTTTCTGTCTGCAAATTCCATCCCTTTGAGTCATCTCTTGACCTTTTTTCAGAGTAAAATACATTTGAAGAGCCAAATCAAGTCTCTTTTTAAGCAAACTGAATGGTTACTGATGAGAAGAACTACTTCTGCTAGTCTGTAAGCAAAAACATCTTTCATTCTTTGTAAAGCAGCATTTAAACAAGGAAGAAATGATCCTTCGTTACAGCCCAGATTCTCTCATCCCAATTAGATCACTTCTTAATGTAGCTTTATGGGAAAGTAGGAAAATTAAAACCAATTCGTTGCCAATTTGGGCCCCCAACTGTGCATTTTATGTTCTCTGCATTTATTCACCCTTCTTACTGAATATTCTGTGAAGCTGTGTATATTGTTTATACTCTAGATCAGAAGTCTTCATTGTGAGGTGTTGTTCCAACCCATTTGAACCTCTTCCTAAGTATTAACTCTAACTGGAAGAGTTATTTTAATTCAGAGTTAAGAAAGTCTGGTCCTCAGGGGGGAGCACTCTGGTTTTAATAGGCATTTACTTGGCTCCAACACACCTGAGACAAACCGTTATTTTTTTTTTTCAAGCTGTCCATATGTTCTGCAGAGTCTAGCTGCAGATCCATTCACCAAATGGATTCTGTACAGAAAAGATCCATTCACTGAAACCAGCCAGACAGACTGAATAATGATAAATGGAGAGACGAATAGAGAGCAAACTGTTGTCTGAAACTTAAAGACCACTAGAAATGCAAGATAAACTGTAGAAATACTGAGAGCTGTCTGCATCCTATCCTCCCTTTTCCTTAAATGCTGGACTTAAAATCTAAATCAAATTCTACACTTTTACAGTTTCTATACCAATCTCTAATTGACTGCTGGATGATTTGATTATTCACACACCTAATATAAACTCATTGCAGCACTAACTACTGTTTACATTGTTCTATTTTTAGCTATCATCTGGCCAAAAGTGATAAAATCAACTAGAGTGCAGTTTATCTACAGTTATAGAGTTCAGGGTTCATACTTTTGGTTCCCACAGGAATTTACAGAAATAACCTGTGTTGCACGAAAGACAACAAACAAATAAAAGTAGCTTTGATAAGTGAAAAATAAATTAAAATTGCACAAAAATAAAATTATATTGAAATAATAAAATATAAGGTGTGTTCTTAAATATTATAAATAAAAAGTAACCTTAACCATAGTGTATAGTTAGATAAGCAAGAATTATGTAACTATATGTGAAACATAAACCATTTTATGTTACCCTGTTCTTCTTTAAGGCTTCAGTCATTCATTGAAACCTTTACCTGCAGCTTTCTGTTTGCAAAGTCACAGATGAAATTACTGTAAAAGAGCAGACAGCCAGTGTTGTTAATACTAATCACTGCTACTCCATCTTTCTTCTGCCATGGAAGATCTCAGTTAGTTCTTTATCGATTTTAGTTAGGAGAAGCTCCACTTTGCAGTCACAGGACAAGTGTAGGCCATCCTACGTTTTAGGTGGAATCAGATCTTATTTTGAGATACCAAGGCTATGTTCACACTGCAGGCCGTGATGCTCAATTCTGATTTTTTTGTGCTGCCGTTCACATTTCCAATTATATGCGTCTTGTATGTGATCTCCTGTGTGAACTGGATTCATTCAGCTTAAGTGTGACGCAATGACATTACAGGCCAGTGTGCACTGTGTTTACGGAAGTAAACATGGATGGTAGTGCCGGAGCACATCTAGCAATCTTTCCAAACCTTAAAACCTCAATCTTTTCAAGATGGTTAAAAATAAATACTGCTCTCCTCATCATCGTCCACCATGGTGTTTGTTTTACTTGCCACTTCTATGTAGCAAGATGCAGAATAGTGACCTATGTCAGTTCCTAATGGCGTTCAGGTCAGATGAATGCAACCTGGCTGTTCAGACACAGGTCGCATTTGAAAAGATCAGGTTCGTTTCGGATTCAGGACCACATAGCCAAGTGGACTGGGTCGGATTGGAAAATATCTGTGTTATTCAGAGTGCCATGAAAAGATCAGATCCAGGTCGCATGCGGGCAAAAAAAGCGGATTTTGGGCACTTCAGGCTGCGGTGTGAACGCAGCCTATGGCTTTCCATCTCACCTTGATCAGACTGTCACCAAAAATGAATTTGTCTCAAATAAGTTTAAACTTGTCCTTGTGTAAATCTGGCCCCAAGACCATTATTTTTTTTCATATATAAGTGATGATTTCTACATTATTAAAGATATTGATTTAGAAAATGTAATCCTGAAATTGTGGTTTTTTTCTAATGTATAGATATAGGAATCATTCTGGGGGGAAAAAAATAAAATAAATAAAACAGATTCCTTGGGGAACCTAACCAGTAGCTTAGTTTGCTTATTCCTTGGGCCAGCCCTGAACTGATCTAATGCCAAGCAATAATTGCAAATATAATATGAATCCTATAAAGAAAAGCCTTCTCCATGTTGACTTAACAACTGAGTAATAACAGAGGGAAGCTCACTCATGTGTCACGTGATCAACCAAAGCCTCTCAGGCTAATTTTAACATCAAGTGAATGTGACACAGGTGAGTCTGACAACAGAGGCTCATAATAAAACATATAAAACATGGAACAACTGAGTGAAATATACTGAACCAACATTTGTTTTTAAACATTGGTTCAAATGTTTTCAAATAAACACTATACAGACAAAACTTACTCTTTTTTTAAAGTTTTCATTCAGAATATACCTTTTAGCGTGCAAATAGACACAGTTAACAGATTTCTGTGTTGTTTTATTTTAATTATAACAGTGTGTTTGCAGCCTGGGGTTAGCATCTCTGCCTTTCAATCAGTGCAGCACCTGTTCCTCTCAGTACATACTTACCCGTATGCCCTTCACCACCGTTATGTTGTCGTTCTCGTCTGATTCAAATGACACTCGGTGGCTACTGTTGTTAGCTCCCATTGTCAGACCGCAAGCTCTCCCAAATGTCGCTTATCTGGGCTGCTTTGAACAATTTCACTACTCTTTTTTTATAACCCGGCTTATCTACAGCCTCATATAAACAAGGCCAGGACTACACGGCTGCAGAAAAGTGAACACTTCCTTAGCATTACGTATTATTCTAAAACGTACCACATTATTGGACAAAGAGGTGAGCGAGCTGTGTATCGAGAAATTTGATTGGTTGTTGCTTTAAAGTGGGCGGAGTTTCGATGTGACGATTTATTTCTGTGATTTTTCTCTCACGTGTAAAGTACTTCCATATATTGATTTCAAATATATCCTAGTTGTTGTGTTTTAAAAACAATTAATAAATAGCCACAACCATTTACATTAAATTGAGTGTTTAAGTCTTATATTGAAGATAATAATTTATGTCAAAGTTCAGGATTTAAAAATGCTTACCAAAGTATTCGCTTTAAACACTTTCATTTTTTTTATTTTTATCTATTTTTTTATTATATATATATATATATATATATATATATATATATATATATATATATATATAAGAAAAAAATAATAAAATACAATAAACATTTTCATATTTTGAGGCATTTCAACTTAAACAAAGGGAGGCTAGATTATGAAGAAATATCTTGTTTAAAAAAACATAAAACATTCTAATACTTATTTTGCAACAACAAAACATTTCCAAATGTGACAGTGTTCCTACACTGGAAAAAATCGAAATCTAGATAAATCACTTTTTTCTTAAAATAAGTGCATTTGTTCTTGGATTGAGAACGTAAAAGAGACATTTTCCTATGGAACAAGACAATTTACACTTAAAATAAGAAAACACAAATGCATTGTCTTATTTAAGTGCATATAATCTAATTATCTTATTTTAAGAGTAAATATACTCATTCCATTGGCAAACTATCTAATTTACTGTACCTACTCAGATTAAGGGTAAATACTTTTTTTTTACTTATTTCTAGATTGTTTTTCCAGTGTATGATTGAATTCATCTGGACAAGTAGGGACATTTCCTAACAACTAAATATACCAGGTTTGTAGTTGTATTATAACAAAGCCGAAGCTTTTGGTGAAGGTACCACAGCCAGAATTAAAGTGCATAGAGTGCAGAGCCACAACTTAATGCCTTCTGAATAGCTCAATAAAAGCAAGTGTACATATCATATTATTATCAAGTTCACTAAGCATGAGCTGCATGGATGTAATGCATGTCTTCACTGGATCTTTTATCGATGGAGAAAGCATGTGTTTGCTTGGCAAACCTGAAATCTGTCTGACTTTATGGATGCTAACCTGAAGCATGGTGCAGACATAGCTTTTGTCACTGTATATTGTGGCTATTTAAATAAAGTTTAATCAAGCTAAGGTTTGCATAATGCACCTTCCTTTAAGTTAGCTTGTTTTGTCTGTATTAGAGGTGTTAATGGTAAAGATCAGTTTACGGTAATATTTGAGGCTACTTTGTGTTCCACAAATCAGAGACTTGGTCACAGAGGAAAATCCACTCCCACAGCAGCAATATTCAGAAATGTTCCAGATCAGAAGGACAACAAAATAAAGGCTGGAGGGAGTGTCCTTAAAAAAGTCTTTGGCCAACATTGACTGAAATCCCCCTAACCCAGACTGGATGAAGCCATAACCTTTTGAAAGCAACATAAAGAGCCTGATTACAGCTTGCAAATGTCATCAGACACAGTGACATGAAATATAGGAAATATGTCCTCTTCTCTGTTGTATATAAAATTGTAGTGTATTAAGCTATGACTGACTTTGAGGGAAAAAACGAGGATAGCTTGTTTGCATGCAAAGATCAGCCCAGCTTTTCAATAAGGGGGGCGGCATTAAGTTGATGGTGTTTTTCACGTCAGGATTGACTAGTGAACCCACAAACATCTTTAGACAGAGCAATACAAAGCAGCTAGAAATCTAACCTAACATAATCTAAATTAACCTGAAAAATGAAAATATTTAGAATGAATTCATGTCTGACAGTAATGAAGGAAGGGCTACATGTCTTTAAATTGAGTGCATGTAAATTTCTCATAAAACCCCCCAAAGGGAGACACCTAAGAAGGAGCCTGCTGACGCTTAAACCATCTCTGATTTATCTTTTTGTGGTGGAGAAGTGGCTCCACAATTAGCTCTTCCTAGATAATAGGACTGTGAGTTTGAGCCCAAATATCTGAAACAAACCCATTTCAGCCTTTTTATCAATAATCTGTTTTATGAACATACAATGAACCAACTGAGCTTTTAGTTTTTGCCAATGCTTATAGTTCAGCATGGCAATTAAATAATTTATAGACTTTATCCAGAGAGTCATTTTCATAACAAAGTAAAAACATTCCTATTTTACTACTCCAAGATTTTATACATTCTGACCATTTATTTTTATAAAATTTGGAAAGACAGGATTACTAAATCTTATAATA